TTCGACCAAATGTCCCCAATCACTCCCTGGTATCATGCCTTCGTCTTGTTGCGATTAACTTCCGGAATCCGATACTCGCTCGCCCTTTCCCTCCTCACATTCTCCCAAAAGTCATACCCGCCATCTTTCCTCCTTGTTCTTCTCTCTTCCCGTTCCACCTTGTTGATGCGTCTCTTCTCCCTCTTTTTTCGTGGTACAATCTTCTTGATGCTGGATGCCACAAGCACAACGACTTTCTTACCACCCTTGTATCCCGTCCGAACAAATCCTTGTACACGACTACTGAATGCCGCAATAAGCGCCGCTGCAATGATGAACACGGACAGGGGCAGCGAAACGGCACCGATAAAGCCAATAGTTGGAAGTTGAGCGTCCCATTCGACCGTGTTCATGCCGAATAAGCTCGTAAAGAACGACAACGGAAGGAAGATGACGGTAAATGTGGTGAAAATCATGACCGAGAGATTCTGCGAAGAGGCTAGCTCCGTCTGAAGGCGTGACCAACGGACTTCATCCACTTGGGCCTTACGCTGGACCATCTCCAAGAGTTTCTCGTACTGTGACATGTTAGCCGACTGTTAAGACTCAGCATTGCAGATCGAAATCTTCATCACTCACGTCATTCCTCGTTGTGTCGACTCTCTTCAGCATCTCTAAGGTCTGGCTCTTGTACTCATCAAGCTTGGCCAAAGCTTCTTCGAGGTACATCTGTCCGTTCTTTGTGATATTTCTAAGGTCTTCTCCCTCAAAGATCGCCTTCATATTTCGGACGACACCGTCCTGGGTCTCGAACAGCCTTTCGAGGGACTTGAGCTCATCCTCCAGATCGCGAAGTTCCATCAGTGCTGACGTGTTTTCGCGGTTCTCCCGCTCGGCTTCTTCAAGCTCACGCTTGTGGCGCTTCTTGATGGACTCCGGCCGATTGCTATCCGAGTCGGACTCGAAACCTACGTCTTTGAATGTCTGCATGCGGAAGTGCTTCAGGGAAGAAGTCATGCGCTCGGTCTATACGCGTCAGTCTCAGGGCTTGCAAACTCATAAGGATGCTGGAGGTGACCTACGAGCATGCTGATTGCTTCTTCAAATATTCTGAAGATCTCGAGGTCAGGATGAGAAGCCCGATCGAGCAGAACAGTGATCGCATGAAGTACGATGAATGCTGCAAGATCCAGTGCATTCTCACAACGGCCCGTGAGATCGCCATTGAGCTCATTGTATACGCTGTTCCTGAGGTCTGCCTGCTGGAAAAGAGGGCCCTCTTTTGGCTTTGAATCCCTTCTGTTGAAGAATGTGGTTAAGGTTTCTAAGGCGTTTATGAGTTGTGAATTCTTTCAATCGGACCGAATTGGGAGAACTCACTCGTATCAATGGCCCACAGCCAAAGCTCATCGACCATGAGAACCTTGCCATCCTTGATAACCTCATCGAGATCCTGGTTTTCATCGTCTGTATCAACCTCATCCTCTAGCAGTCCCGTGCTTGAAGGCGTGAGCTTGTTTATCGGGCTCCATGTCGATCCTGTGGTTTGTCGTCTCTGAAGCCCCAGCTGTTCCAAGTCAACTCCAGTGGACGCGCGATCTTTGGTAAGCTTATAAAGCATCTGATCGTCGTCGCGAGCCCACGTGTCTCTCAAGGAGGGGTATGCAAATTGATCAAGAGTCCGGCGGTAATTGAGTGGCGGGTCATATCCTATATACTCCCAGATCATTCGAAGCTCCGCGGAGTCCAGCTGTGCGATATCTCGCGGAACCGGACGAGACCTGCCATGCTGCATGCGCTGCTTGATGAAGTTGCGTCGGCGGACTATGTCGATGTATGTGTCGAAGTGAAGGAACGGAAGGTACATGTAAAGATACGCCGACGAAGGCCCAGCTGGACTGACACGGCCAGAAAGGTTGGGGGACGGATGAGGTGAGGGAACTTTCGACATAATCAGCTTACGTTGCACCAGGCTCATTCCATTTGAAAGCTCACCTGAGTTGACAGGAATGATGTTGCAGGCCGGTTTGACAAACGATGCCTGCGATTGAGAGTGTCTTCCGATGACATGCTTCGATGCCCAGTTATCATGGTTGAAGAGTTTCACGAAACTTGGGTCGTTGGGGTTGGCTAGGACACCAAAAACATCCTATGTTGCGGTTATTAGCTCGGCCGAGTGAGGAGATTGCGATCCCGATTTTACCTTGACCCAAGAGGGATTGGTGAATGGAGTGTGAATCCACATGAACTTTCTACCGGTCGGATCAGGTCTTGAAAACCCAGCAGTCAGATCCTCCAAGGCAGAAGCTCTCGAGTACCGGTCCTGTCGTCTGTAAAGTGGCTCTGAATAGCTCTTCTCTACACCTATTGATGCAAAAGGCTCGGGATCCGGCGTCTTCGGCGACAGCTCAAGTTCTGTTGGATCTGACCTCGTGCTGTCGGCATTGCTACCTCGACTGGATGGCCGATTGAATCCTGGCGGAGACAAGGCTGGGACCTTGAGGCTTTGCATTCGACGTAGGGCATCCACAGGCGTCGAATTGGATTCTCCGGCCATGGATGGACGAGTGACGACGATGCCGGGCGAGCCCTGACTTTCGGAGTCGGAGCTCTTGGGCCGACTCCCGGTGTCTGAGCCAGCTCGCCATATCTTTTGCCCCAGCTCTTGGAAACCAGCCATGATTCCCAGGCCATGAGAACTGTGTTGTGAGTCTGTCTGGCTTGGATGAGGCGGGTTGGGATCAGACCGCGGCCGGAGTGTGCTTCTTCTCAACCGTTCTTCCAAGCATCGTTCGGGACCTTTGTCCAGAAACTCTTGGAGATGGAGCTTCGTGAAGTAAAGACGGATGGCGGACTCCATGTCTGCATCTGGGTCTTCATAGAAGCCAATTATCTCGACCTTGACATGTCTCTTGAGGTTGAGCGGAGTGTGAATGTACTGTGAGCTCAGTTCCGTAGCTTTTTGAACCGCTACAGAGAGTTCATGTAGGTAGGTATTCATCGTTTCTGTGTTCCCCTCTCCAAAAGATGCGCAATTGGCATGTTCACTGTCCAATGAGAAGACTCTCTCTTGCCTAACGCCGAGTAATGATGACTTTATGGAGGCAATGGGGGCGCCGAATCGAACCTCCTTCGCTAAGCCTCTACTCGTAGACCCAGAGCCTGAAAGCTGAGAGTCGATAGTCTCATAGAAAGACCAGATCCTGAGCTCGCTTGCAATTGTTGAGAATTCCTCGTCCATCTTCAAAAGAGGTTTGTGACCTAGTCTCAAATCGTTGGAGATTGAGCGTGGAAGCGGTCGTTGAAGGCGAAGAAGGTGGCGAATACTGTCCTCCAAGTTGTTCATGGATAGGTAACTTGAGCCCTTGTGCGGAGTTGCTACGCCGGCGTCAGCGACTAAAAGTATTCCGGTGTCCTCAAATAAGACGTCAAACTTACCGAAGAAAGTAACTCCATGACAGTTGTACATAAATGGTTTGAAATGCTCGCTCTTGGTTGCTTTCAAAAGCGCCAGCTTGACGACTAAGCCGCCAACACTGTGCGCGATGAAGAATAACGGACGAGACCGTTGCTTAAGCTATGTTATCCCGTGGATCCCATCAAGAAAAGATGTCAAACACTCACGTTGCCGTATCTTGTGTTCCAAACCTGTTCAATCAAATCATTCGCAAGCTCTTCAAGGGTGACTCCCTCAACCAATTCGCGATGACGGTAGAGAAGCACGCGAGCCTCGCTGACCTCCTTCCGAATCCCCTGCCTCACCCACAGATGAGTCGCCTTGGGGAGATGTCGATTGATCGTCGGTGACAGAATACTAGCTCCCGCGAGCTCTTTCAACGCAGTCGGCGGCACATCAGCGGCCCGTCCGAAGTATCCCTCCGGCAGTGGGTCGCGGGCCCATGTCTCGACGGGGTCGGCTCCGGGACACGGCACACACACGATGTCGACCAAGGTCTCATTGTACCCACGTCCATTGACATCGCCGTCGATGTGCGCGAAGCCTGGTCTGGGCTCCCAATGTGATGAAGTACTAGGTCGTGGAGGCGACTCGGTTCTATCAACTTGCGTGTCTTCAGATGGCTGGCCAGGCGGCAATGTCTGAGGCGGGTCGGTGCGCTCGGGGCTGTCGTTCTGAGCGGCCGCAACTTCGTCGAGGACCGCGTTCTCAGTCTCGCGCGTCCAGTCCTTGTACTCTGACATTGTGCTTCATCACTCTGATCTACCGAGAAAATGACATGAAGATTTGTTTTTTGCGAAAAGCGACCTGGGACACTGTCGCTTAAGGAAAAATGAGATCCTTGCCAAGCTCATTCTGTTTGTCTTCAATTCTCGACAGCGCAGTCATCATACCGGACGCCTGTTTGCTTATGCAGCCACCAAGGCGACCGAACCCCTGTGAGTCTGCGTGACCAGGCTGCATCATTATTGCTGACGGTGGCAGGCTGGCTCGTTCACCAGCCTCAATTCCCCCTAGTCCCGAAGACAAGCTGCGGACCGAGCCTCAGAGGACCTTCACCTCAGATTGGAGGTTGCGCGGTGTGCGCGGGTAGCGTGCAGAAGGATCAGCCTACGCTAACTCCTCGTGGTCAGCTACGACCATCACCTGGACAATACAGGCCACAGGCAACGGCGGCTATGCTTAGACAGGCATCGGGGCCTCAGCCCTGAGGTGCGACTGTGTGTGAACACTCGATCATTGTGAAAATGCAACATAACGTGGTGGAGAATGCTAAGTCGTCTCACAAGAGCCTCATACTCGTACAGTCTGTATGGTCGACCATCCCACAAGGTTGGATGACACACTCAGAGGTTGGGTGTCTGGGAGTTGGATGAGTCGAATGCCAGCTCAGGACTTGGCGGCTTCGCCCGCTAAAATCGCCCTGAAGTGAGGTGTGCCGCGTATCCGAACTGAACCGCGCGACCATCAACATGGAGGATGGTGAGCGCTTGCACTCATCTGCTCCAAGCGGGACATTCTGGGATGAAATGGGAGAATCTGGGAGTCAAAGATTTCTCTCGTTAGTCCACCAAGCTTTGCTGCATGTACCTAAGGATTGCAGTCAGATATTGACGGTACGGAAGTTCCGTGAGAGCACAACCAGCTCGCTGGCGATCGGGATTCAACCGACTCGCGTCAGTTTCTGTCGGTATTCTTGTGGGCAGCATCTAGCTTAGCTCAGTGTGACCGCAATTTTCACAGCGAAAAATTGAGAAGAAGGGGATTTTCCCTCGAGAGAACCAGAAGCATTCATGATCTTTGAGTTCCTATCCTGGGTCTTGAGACGGCAGAGGTGAGAATGCGGTGTTCTCACTGCATTTCCGGAAATCGAGGGGCGTCTCAAGGTACGTACTCCCCACTCCCACTCCCGAAACTCTCGTCGCGGGGTTCTCAGCGATGGAACGCGGGGCATCGGCCATTCCGCCGAGCTCACAACGACACAACTCATCCAGGTTTAATGATAAGTAGTGATCGTTCTCTGCATGTCGAAAGCTTGATCCTAATAACTCGTTCGCTTCGCTGATCTCTCAACTGTTGTTCAGCTTCAGCGAATCAGTCACCCCACGTATCCTTCAAAATGTCGTCCTGGGCGGAAAGCAAGTCACAAAATCGCAGTCTACAGATTCTACAAGCCGCGACTGAGGGCAGATATGGAGTTCTCTCCGTGGTCATGTAAGTGTCATCAGCTACCATGACACGTATCATGAGGATGGTACTGATGTTTTGTATTTCAGCTACAACATTGAGCATCTCACTGCCGTTGTTCGCGCAGCAGAGGCCAAGAAATCGCCTATGCTGATCCTCTTGTTCCCTCTTACGGTGAAGCAGCTCCCGACTCTCCCGTGGGCCGTCGCCGTAGCCATCAAATCAGCAAAGGTCCCACTTGCCCTGCATCTTGACCACGCCCAAGATGAACAGCAAATCCGCGACATCGCGGGAACGCTACCATTCGACTCAATCATGGTCGACATGAGCCATTACGATCATGAAGAGAATCTCGCCAAGACCAAGGTTTTGACAAGAGTCTGCCACGACCACAGCATTGCTGTCGAGGCGGAAAGTGGACGCATCAACGGCGGGGAAGACGGCATCGCAGACACCGGCGACCTAGAAGGTAAGACATGAAGCTTGTTCGGTATGGTTATTCATCCGCTGACTTGACTAGCCCTTTTCACAAGCCCAGAAGAGGTTGAAGATTTCATCGATGCCGAGATTGATCTCTTGGCACCCAGTATCGGCAATATTCACGGAGACTACGGTCCCAAGGGTCCTCAACTCGATTACCAGCGATTGACAAATGTCAACAAGCAAATCAACAACCGCGTCCTCATGGCTCTGCATGGTACGAATGACTTCAGCCCAGAGATTATGAGAAAGTGCATCGACAACGGCGCCATCAAGCTAAATGTCAACAAGCTGCTACTGGAGGTTTGGAACGTCCATCTGAGGGAGAACGCCAACAAACCACTGACGCAATTGATGGAGGACGGCATGAACATTCTGCAGAAGGAGACAGAAAGGTGGATCGATATTTGCGGCAGCGCTGGTAAGGCGTGATAGACTTGCATCAATCTCTAAATGATAGAATGGAACAGCGTCGCACCTCGTTAAGAACGGACCGAATTCTCGTCCACCGATCTGATAGGTCACAAACAAAATATACGTAGCGTCAAAAGAGCGTTGATGATTCGCTAGATGATATTGAATGATGCGTTAAGTGGCTGCCATGCAGCCAATGGCCACGAGCTTGCGTCTCCTCAAATCATTGAGGAACGAATTGGAAAAAAAAATAGCCCATTTCGTCCTCGGCCAGCTACAGAGGGCCTTCGAGGAGACCTGTTGTAAGTATGGATTTCCAGATTCGTCCACTTCATTTCCTCACTCTGTACTAAAGACCTTATTCGGCACTGCTGGAAGTGTGTCAGTGACCAATTCTCAACCTTGAGCAGCACTTCACGTCCTGTCCAGATCCTTCAGATGACGACACTAAACCCTGGCACTGGAGCGGCGAGGGCTTCTAAACGCGAAGCTCTACATTTATGCAATGAGCGATTAGGACACTGGCTCGGCGACGAAGATGGACCTTTGACTCTGAGCGCAATGGCGATCGGTGGGAGCGCAAGAAGACAGCGTGCTCTAGCTGAGGTCGACGGTATGTTTGCAGGCCTCACATATCTCAATAAGGTGGGGGATTCGCAGGAGGATATCCGATACGACTCAACTTTCCCAGGCTTCTCCTGGACATTGGAAGAAAGCATACTTCACAGCGACATCACGGACCTTGATCTCGAAGAACTGGGGGCAAAGTGTGCCAAAGAAGAAATACGGACAAATGAGATCAGGCGGGCGTGGTCAGGCCTGCGAGATCTACGAAAAGGTCTAGAACAACAGCACTATCAGCTCAGAGGCGTAGCTTTTGAGGAGGAGAACTCAACGAAAATCCAGGAGCTTTTGTTGAACAACTACACCAGCCCCAGGAGAATGGGAGAAATAGGTATCTTAGCATACCGAGATGTCCTCGATTTCGTTGTTCCGGATACACTTGCTGAGGTTGTCGCATTCGCTTCAGTTTCCTACGTCATCTCGAACCTTCTACTCCAACGTGGCCGGATTGCCGAAACAGACGTGCTCTCCGGCTTACAGCGCTGGGGGGGCTGCATCTCCAATGAAATGGACCGACATACTTTTGCTCTATTGGCTTCGAAAATGTGGCCTCTGGAGCATCTCCGGACTGCGGATGACATTGAGAAACGCAGCGGCCAAGACGACGACCAAGATTCGCATTATCTTAGAGCCAAACGGTCAAGGCTTGAGGATGATGATGCTCCGCTTCCACTGGGTTTTCAGCCCTTTCAAAGCATCGCCGGACAGGGCAGCTCATCGAAGGAGATGCGAGATGCTGCTCTACTCACCTCGCAAGGGCTAGAGATGCTATCAGAAAAAAGCCCAATTGCGGCTTGCAACCAGCAACACTCAGTTGATATCGAAAACTTCGGTGGCGATGTTATGAATATCACAGATCAGACATCGGAAGAGTATGACTTCAGTCAATTACTCTCTCTACTTGGAGATACTAGTGGTGCAGTGGGAGGACCAGGCCAGCACAACGACTCTCTGTGCCCCTCAGGCCTCGACCCGAAAAGTAGCGATTACTATTGGACTGGTCTTTCACTCGACCACATCCCTTCTCAGACCTTCTCGCCTATGGATGATCCTCACATTCGCCAGCAGTCGCCGCCTCCCGCCGAAGGATGCCCTTCATTCAGCACAGATGACCCTGCTGTCAAGCGAAAAATGATCAAATTCAAGTGTTTCAACAGGGATAGCGACACTGCAATATTCAGGTTGCGAGATACTCCAATGTTCTTGGTTGTGGTGGCGTTCGCTCAGGATACAGGCGACGTTTTCTATCGGCTGTCAGGCTGTGGGAAAACTGTCCACGCTATGAGGAGAAGCTCAGCATACGCCAAAGAGAGATCGAAAGCCGAAAGAAGACTTCGACGGGATTTGTTTGATCCGATGAAAAATTCCGGAGAAGACAATGTAGTATTCCTTGCATTGCTGTCAGTGGCGAAGAATTTTGTAATATTGGGGAGTTTGGGGACTCTTGAACATGCCCAAGATTACTTGGTTGCGATTTCTCGCGTAAGACTGGAATCCAAGTTCCAACACTTTCCGTTGAAACCGATCTAACGTCTCTCAATAGGAAGTCATCGAGCCTGGTCGCGAGCACGAGAAGTTCATTCGTTGGATTTACGGTTCCTCGAGCTTCTATCCCTCTCGCACAAAAGCTTCGACTCAACCGGGTACAGAGACCAGACAAGAGCAGTTCCCATCGGCGAAACAAGACGCGTAGGTTTCGAGCTCCCTTACCCCCTGATAGATACACATTGTTGACGGACTCGAGACAGACAGGATCGCCAGGCAATCTATCAGTGTGATAGGATGGACTGCGTGAAATCATACAAGACAGCCTCTGGACTCTGGAAGCACAAGCAAAAAGAACACGAGGAAAATGTCACAACGATAGCTTGTCCAGAAGGCGGCTGCAGCTTTGAAGACATCCGCCTGGATCTTGTGAGGTTGCATTATCAAAGATTGCATGGTCTGGACTTGCCCGAAGTTTTGAAGGCTAGGTGTCGAGGTCAGAAACGCCGAAGACGTTCATAACTCACTCAGTCTGAGTACATGTATGTACTTTGGAGGATCGAGGACAGTTCAAATCGCAACGTGTGAAATTTGAGAGGCAAAGCCTGTCTCCTCGTGGCTGCGTTCATGTATCTTCTCTTTTACCAAAGAAAAAAGAAATCAAATGCAATAGGATCGAGCGCTTGATGTGCCTCCACTTGCTAGCAGCTGCAGTACCGAAGAGGCGCATACCGAGTGTGGCACATTAGGTAAGGTAGTGTATGAGCACTTTGTATTAGGGGACATATGGAAACCTGATGAGACACCAAACCAAGTTGAGAAACCGAAGTCCCACTTCTGACTCAGTCTTTTCCGCTGTATTCGGTAATACTGTGATACTAATCTGAAAGTTGTGGCACTGGCTGGTACACCACAGCTTTGTGCCTTGAATTGCAAGGAGTAGCCTTTTCCTTGGTGCCAAGTTCGGTGCATCGAACTCGCCGATAACCGGGTATTTGGGGGGCGAATGCCGTCATCTTTTGCTCAGTTGGTTTTTGCAAGACACGGAGGAAGATATTGACTCGCGTTGTCTCCCCTTTAGCATTTGTGTCAAAGCAGTTCAACACAAAGGCGTAATCTCCATAGAACTTTTTCTTCAAGTAGCGAATTCCGTGAACAACCATCAAGATCCCACAGGGCAAGCAAACAATTGATCCGAGACAAAAACCCGTCAGGGCTCCCATCGATACGGTTTTGCGGTTATCCATGATCCTGATGAAGTTGCCTTCGATGCCTTGCGTTGTCCAAGTGAAGATACGTGAAGGCAGCTCGTCGGTACAGGTCATGCTTCCACAATCTCTGAACCATCTGGGCGAGGGGGCAAGGAGACCCCATTCGTCGGGTGCCCAACCTTCATTCGTGCCATGGACTGTCTCACTGTGGCTGGCATCGGGCATTCTCCAGGCAAATAGAGATTCGTCCATCGCCTGACTAGACAATATCGTTTCCTGCAGACGCTGGAATGCGCGCGGCCCTTCGCCATACTGGGGCGTCATGAATACGTTGAAGATGCCGAGCATACTGTAAGTGATGTCTTCCTCTCGACTAGTAACTCGGCTTGCCATCCAACTCATCTTCGCAGCAATGCAAACTTTAGTAAAGTCCTGTAGGCCTGTCAAGTATTTCTGGGAAATACCGCTGGCTTTCTCCAACTGAACCTTGAGTTCTGTTCTTGTACCCATAAAAGTCCATTTTGTGTCATAGAACTCCAGATCTCGTGGTGCTAGCATTTCCTGCAAGGTCCATCCTCGATAGAACCACTCAGAAGGTTCTCCGCAGCTGATACGATTAAATATCAGAGGGTTCGCTTTCAGTTCGGTCTCAGCCAGAGTGGTGTTCACCTCAATATCAGAAAGGTAGACGATACACAGCTTTGAATCGCGATACCATTTGAACATGGAATTGATTGACTCGGTTTCCTCAGTGGTGCTCGACTTGTCGATACAGCACGAATCGATCCACATCCAATTGTAACCCTTGTCGCGCGCGGTGGCACAAGCACCGCGAATCTTGTCTAACGATAACGGAAGTGGTCCCGCGCCATTCTTGAGTTCTTCAGTATGATCGAGGAACTCATTGAACTTGATTTCCGAAGGTTGCCAGCGATGTGATAAAATGGCATAGCCTTCTTCGCGGTATACAGACTGTTCCCCAGACTGAAGCTCGAACGAGGTGGTGTTTATGAGTCTCATGAGTAAAGCTTGTGTTTAAGAAGGAGAGTTGGGTGCTTGAACCGGCGTCCTTGACGTACCACAACGATGACAACCACAGGTCGGGAAGGAGGAGATGCTCGTCTTTATTTGTAGCACGAAGGATAGCAGTTTAAGTAGTAAGCATGATGTGTCTAAAATCCTTTCACCTAGGAAGATCTGATCTCCTGAGCAGGCTGTAGACTCATTGACCAATGATGACAATCATTTTATGAAATGTATTTACTTAGCTGTAGTCAGATGGGAACCATTCGCCAGTAAGCGAGCCCATATGACGTGGCTGTGAGGCTAACCAGTGGCGATTGCTCTGCAAGGTACTTTTTCCGGTGTGAGGTTGCATCTCATGATGGGCAGGTGTGAATTCTTACATTTGCCTGTGCAGCGACACGGGATTCCAATGTGCAGATACTTAAACAACATCGAAGGTACTTATTGATTTAAGGTCTTGACGTTGTGCAAATTATTCATCTTGTGTAACATACTCGACCAAGTAATAATATTGAATTACTTCAGAAAGTACCATGTTTTGCAAGATTTACATGCTGAAAGCTCGCCGCCGTGAACAGCTAAGTCAAACCCCCCACTTCCTGGCACCCCCCTGTTTCTGGCACCCACAAAAACGATGGGATCACAACCCAACCTCCTCATTACTATTAACTATTGATCCTCAACCACACCCACTACAATACAACTGCCAGCCTCACTAGGGCATTCAGAGTCGC